AAGGACAAAGTACTCTCCAAAGTAAGGGAGAACACAGAGCAGTGAACCAGGAACACGTGTTCCCCACTGCTGAGGCCCTCCCCACACGCACAGCGCTCACAGAGCATCCGCACGGTGCCGGCTCCTCGGTCAGTGTGGGCTCAGGACTCTATCCACCCCACAGAGCATTTCCCACTGCCCCAAACGGAGCAGTGCTGAGCCCCACACAGCCCACATGGAGCCCGTGGCCGAGGGCCACGTCAGCCACTGCAGGAGCACAGTGAGTGCTGTGGGGCTGTGGTCCACCGCCAACAGTCCAAAAATGAAAACAAACCAATGGCAAAGGAACAGTCATAAAGGGAAAAGCCGTACAGCAGCAGCCACTGCTTTTGCAGGTAAGAAAACAAGAAAATAAAAGTGCAATCTCACCATCTCCTGTATCTCATCTGGGCTGTGCTGTAACGCCCACAGCGCCCCATAGCTGATACAGCACATACAGAAATACAGCAGGACGCCAGACCACCCCAACCTCTGATCCCAACACCGAGCTGCACAGCTCTGTGCACAAACCCATTTCCAGAACGCTGCTGTGGGGTCCCCTCTTCCCCAGCACAGCCCTCAGCAGGTGGCCTTGGCTCCAGCAGACACAGAGGGGCCCTCCATGCCGGCCCGAACCATGCTAACAGGCATCTGCTGCTCATCCTCCAGCTTCCGAACCGCTCCATTCTGTCGTGCAAACAACACAAGGACAGGACTGCCAATACCACTGTTATTCTAATAAAACACTGCACAACCCAAAGAGGTCATTTGCAAAGTACCCCCAGGTCACCAAATCACCAAACATGCCTGTCATCTCCTAGTCTGTGCAGGAGCACTGCTGTGGGTGAGGACTGCTTCCCCAACCCAAGGAGGGGGAGCTTTGAATCAGTACCTATGCCCTGCAATTCTATTTCTACTTCCTTTTTTTTTTTTTTTTTTTTTCCCCTTAAAAAGAGACATAATAAATAACTCGTTCTGACTTCTAAACAAGCATTTGTGAGCTTTCAAGAATGCTCTGGAATGCACAATTCCTCGAGTCTCTTTCGCTTACACCATTTCGTTTTGGATACAGCCTGCCTCTGGTTCACTTAAACGTGTAACAGGAAACTGGGATCTGAGCTGCAGGTAGTGTTACGTTACTGCCGGTTCTGGAAGGAAACCTTTTTAGAAGTAAGAAGCGAAGGGGAAGGATTTCTCCTCTCCATCTGCGGCAGACAGCTGCTCGCTGCCTGGAATCTGTGGTAGCAGACACTCAGAGCAGCACCACGCTGAAGTAAACACTGCGGAAATCTAATTTCTTTAATTGCACTGACAGTGTAGAAGTACTCTCAATATGATAGTTGCCATGTGATAAACCGAGTCATCTGATTAAATGCTGGAAGCTAAACAGGCAGTTGTCATCCATTTCATTAAAAGATGTATTTTGTTGAAATACTTTAAATACTCTGAAAACTTTAAAAAAAACCCTAAAACCGTCAGGAAGACTCAAGAGAGCTGTGTGTGTACACCCATGTGCTGCACAGCCAGGTGTCTGAATGCTCAGCACAGGTTAGAACTTGAAGTAACCATCCAAGCCAATATGCATACAAGAAATAAGCCAAGATAGAAGATATGGCCCCATCGGGCCATAAAAAGCTTTGACAGTTTTACAGACTGCCGTGTTGGAACCGCCATTAAAAGCAACTCCCCACAGCTTTCTGCCTTCACACAACCACCATCCCATGTCACTGAGCCTCACTGCTGCCCCAGCTCAGCACCCCCTGCCCGGCCCCACAAACCTCCCCCACACCTGCCCAGCATTTTTAAACAAGGGCTTAAGGTCTGTGCAATTCACTCTGCAGCAATTGTGACCTGCAAGGAGGAAAAAAAACAGCATGCTTTTAAAAAGTACTTTAAAATGTAGATTTTGCATTTTGTAGATTCTGCTGCCCAAAGCAAACAGCACTGGGGATACCACCCCTTCCCTATGGAACCTACTACTGCTGTTGGTGGAAAAGCTTTATAATCACTGTCCATTTGCTCTCACATCCAACCACCATGCCATACCTGCCACAGCACTGCCAAAGCAGAGAGCAAACCCTCAGTGGGATGCACTGAGCCACACACCTGCTGTGGGGACGGCCTCCCCAGGCCCAGCTGAGCACAACGAGGGGCAGGGGCTGCCTGCTGCCCCAGGTGCACACACTCAGCACTCCTTTGTGAAGACATCCCACCTGGGTCTGTTCCCCCCTGCAGAGAGCCATGGGGGCAGCAAAAACTGCCCCTGCAGCAGTTTCTCTTCCCTAGCAGCCTCATGAAGTGGTTCCAAAGAATCCAATTCTTCGCCTTCTTGGTTTCACACCAGCTCATTTTGTGGAACAAATTCAGCACCCAGTTGCTCCCTGTGATGTCGAGTCACGCTATCTCTGTTATCCTCAGTTTTGAGCTGACCCATCCTTACTGTGCGCACAAGCTGTGCCAAGTGCTTCCGCGCGCTGCAAGCTTCCCAACAGAGCCAGTGAGCACAGCAAGCACACCAGCACTAACAGGGTTGCTACAGAAGAAACTTTTCAGGGTCCCTGTCTTTCAAAGCTTTCAGCCTTTCTATACCTTTACACAGGGGAAGGCCATTCAGTCCAGCACTGAACATCACCCACCTGCACCAAACACCCTCTGGCCCCAGCACATCAGCACCCCTTGGTAAGTGCTATCGATGCAACCAAGAGCTCTACTTCAGCTGCACAGATGTTCTGCGTTTGTCTTCTACATGGTAATAACACTGCTGCAGCATGCATTCAGACTGGAGACAAAGGCTGACATTCCCTACAGACCAGCACAGCACCCAGACTGTGTGTGCTCCATCAGCTGCTCCCACACAGGGCGGAATGGACAGCTTCAGCAACTTCATGAGACAAACACAGGAATGTGTCACAGGTAAAATGCTCAATCCTGGCTTCTTGAACCAGAATTCTGTGCCCACACCCTACAAGGCATCTTGGCAACTTTCCATCTCAATGTGCTGAATTTTAATAATACTGAAGAAGTTACATAGTAAAGATCAGCCCAGCTTTCCAAATGAAGCTTCTGGTTCGTTTGGGTGGCTTTTTTTTTTTTCATTAACTGGAAAAAAGACAACTTTCAAGGGTTTTTTTCTCACAAGCAGCCTGTTCTACAGCAAGACCATCTAAGAAGAGTAGATCAGAGTGAAAAAAGCTAGAAACTCAAGTTGAAAGTTGCACTATTAAACCTCTTTTCTACAAGAAATGCGTCCTGGCAAGGCTTCCATTTAGGACAGCACAACAGTCAGGCCCCCAGGGTTGCACTGATGCCCAACGTCATCAGCTGGGATTTGGCATCCACAGACACAGCAACTGCAGCTCCGTGGGGGGCCTGCCCCAACCCAGGGCATCTATCTGCCAAGGCCTCAAGGTTCAATATATTTGGCACACATGAGGTAGGAAAAGGTGCTCCTTCCATTCACTAATTCATCTTCTACACAGCTAGAAAGTGTTCTGAAGGTGCACAGGAGATGAACCTGACTGTCACTATCTTCATTTTGCAGTCACAAAAATGCAGGAGTAGAGAAAACCCACACAAGTATTTCTGGCACCAACCCCTACACAAAAATAAACAAAAATCCCTAACTCATTTCACTCTGAAAAAATAACGGCTAAATGGATCCTTCTGCATGTCAAACCAAACCAAACCAAACCCAGGCCCGGTTGAGGCCCTCAGACCCACAGCTCACGGAGATGTGGGAGCGCAAGATGGATGGCAGAATGCCCTGCTGCCATCTGCAGCACCACCTCGATGGCGTGAGCAGGAGCACGGTCTGCTCAGCGCTCCAACCGGCACGAAGCCCCAGAAGCAGCAGGACTGCAGGCACCGGGCCCCGCCGAGCCGTGCACCCACAGCTGCTTCCCCAGAGCAAAACGAGCACCGAGCACCGAGGCACCGGAAAGCGCAGAACTCTCTGAACTGCGTCTGTTCTCTCGTCTGTGTGCTGGGAAAGAAATCTGGAGCAGCATCCAGCACGCGGCAGAAGTGCTGCAGCCAGAGGCCGGCTCCGAAACCTCCTCTGGGGCTGAGACCCAGCACTGCTCCCACAGCACCCTCCTGCCACAGCAGCCGCCCCCGTTTTTCTGCTCGTTGCTAAGCCCCGTAGGGCACGAAGCCGTAGGCAGCGGGGGCTGCAGCGCTTCTTTGAAACAAGTTCCTTTCTTTTTTTTTTTTTTTCCCCTGTTGCTTCCTAAAAGAATACGACTGTCACCAAGAATGTCAACAGGAAAAAAAAGTAGCAGTGGAAAGAGTTGGCGGCGGTGCTGCGCCGAGGTTTGTCTCAATGCAGGAGCAGAACTCAAACGGCTGCGAGCGGTGATTCACAGCGCTGAACTTTTAGAAGAGACGCCGAGATGACAGCGGGACAGTCAGAATGTGTCAGGAACTGACATCACCGCCCTCCTCAGCGCTGCCCCGCTTCCTCCCGCACCGCCCCGCGGCGCACAGCCCGCACTCCGCGCTGCCCGCTGCTGGCGGCCCGTCCCGGCACGTGCGCGGAGTCGCGGCTGCGCCCCTTCCCACCGGCGGACGAGCCAACAATTCGAAAGACAAAAAGCAGCGATGCGGCGCCGCCCCCCCCCGCAGCCCGGGCTCTCCGAGCTCCCCCCGCACGTGCCCGCACGCAGCCCCGGGCTCGGGCTCGGCCCCGCCGCCCTCCGCCCCGCGCCCCCGCGAGGCCCGTTCTCCCCGGGGCCGTCCGGCATGGCCGGATTCGGCGTGGCGTTCGGCGGGTCCCCGCGGAGCTCACCTGCGGCCGGGGGAGCGGCGGGGCCCGCGCGGGGCGGCCCGGAGCGGGAGCGGAGCGGCGCCGCGTCCCGGAGACGACTTCAGCCGCGCGCGCGCGTCCCCGCAGCGCGCTCCCGCGCGCGCCCTCGGTGGCTGCCACGCAGGCCGGGCCGGGAGCGCGCGCGGCCCCGCGCTGCCCACCTGCGGCCCCGCGTTACCTGGCGGCCGGCGCTGCCCCCGCTCCTCCGGGCGCGTCTGCGTCCGCGCGCGTGTTTTCCACGTCCCGCGATGAGTCACCGCGCGGAGCTGCCCCGGAGCGAGGGAGCATGAGCGGAGCCCTCCCACCGCCCTCCCGCGGCCGGCCTCCCCCGGAAAGGGCCGGCTCCCCGCACCCAGCGCGGCCGGGAGGCGGCGGGGAGGGCGCGGCGGGACCGAGCCGAGCCGGGCCCTCAACCGATCGCGGCCCCGGGGCAGGGAAGGCGGGGGAAGGGCCGCAGGCTGCGCCTCCACGTAGCGCTCCGCTGGGTTTTGTACGAGCGGAGAAAAAGCCGAGAGCGAACGCGGCGGTCAATAAAAGCGAAAGCGCAAGTCTGGTTTACTTGGCCCGACCGGGCGGAACCGCAGCGCCGTCCCAGATCCGGGCAGCGGCACCTGCGGGCCCCGGGGGCAGCGCGTCCCGATGGGTGCCGGCAGCCCCACCGGCCGCACCGCCGCCTCTCCTCCTACGGCTCTGCGCCAAACGAGCGCAAATTCAGAGCGAACGCGCACGGGCCGCACAGCGCGAGGCTTCCCGCTCCGTCCCGCGGCGCTGCTCCCGCGCACAGCCCGGCTCCGCGCAGCTCCGTCCCGCCGGGCGGATGCCGCGCAGCTCCGCGGCGCTCCTCGCTGGAGACAGAGCGGGAGACGCAACAGATGGACGCCGTGCGGCCACCTGGTTCTAAAGCAAATCATGCCATCAATCTATCGGTGCGAAATCTGAAACATGGGAATGTGCTTAGAGAAACAACGTGAATTCCATTTCTTTCCTCCCAACTCGATTTTCCCAAGGTCTGTCGGTGCTCTGTTCCAGAAACGCTTTTTTTTTTTTTTTTCTGAAAAACAGTGCCGGTGGATGGAGGTGCAAGAACCTACGTGTTTTATATCAAAACAAAACCCAAAGAAAGGATCCTTCCTTCGGCTGCCACAAGTTCCTCTTTCGATTCAGGAAAGCTGTTTTTAAAAATCTGCCACGTTCTCATGCACAGCTCCAAGATCCAGGTTTTCACTGCTAAATTAGACACACAAGACAGAATCTGGATTATCTGTGGCGATTCAGTTAAGAAAGAAAATTAAATTTCCTCAATTACGTCTTGTCAGAAATAGGCTTTCCTTCATACAGACTGCCCCAATTCTCTGTGGCTCTGGGTGCTCATGGGGCAGCCCTGCTGTCCCACCAACCGCCCTGCTCCCATTGCTCAGGCATAGGTGGGCACTGCAATCATGGCACTGCGATCGTGGCACTGCACTGCGGGGCTGAGCAAAGCCAGAGGGGAATGCCCTCACCCTGGTGGATAAGAGGTTCCCAGCAATGACCCCATCATCTCTGGGAGACGGCAACGTTCTCAACCCAGCTCTTCGAGGATTTTAAATCAACACAGAGTCGATGCGATTGATTTACTTTATACCAAGTGCTAAACACAACTGTCACCATATCCTTCATCCCCCATCCTGTATTGGTAATTCCTGGCCTTACTGACTTAATATATGCATACTGAGTTATGGTTCATCTCCTAACAGCATCCACTGCTAGAAGTCATTTTCAGAAGAAAAAACCATCCTGCACTGAAAGGTGCAGAGCTCTCTGAGATCCCACTTTCCAGCAGCAGCCACAGGCGATGGCCACGAGCTCCTTCCCCTCCCCTCGCTGCCCCGCACACGCTGTGTGCTCGCCGTCTCCATGCTGTGTCTGCAGCCCCACACTCAGTTCTCAGATTTCTGTAAGGTTTGAGTCCCAGAGGAAGCATTAATGCTAAAGGAATGCATACCAGCATGGAACTCGTCTAAAAGTCAGTATGAAATCTCTCCAACAGATTGCTCAGAGAAACACCTCTTTTTCACCATATTTAAGATCTGCAGATGGATCTTACGAGCATTTGTGCAACAGTTTGGTCTCAGGCTGATAAGAGCACTGAAAAAAGAGAGAAATACAGTGGAGGAGATGAAGCCAGCGGCCTGCAGACAGACACGGCGACCCTGAGTGCTCCAGCCACACCACCTGTGGATCTCATCAGGGAACCAGATGGGACTGGTGGCAGAATATCCTGCACAGCGTGAGAGCTGGAGCCTGGGATCGCCATCCAGGAAAGGGGAGATGGGAAAGTATGATGGAGAAAATGTCCCTTTTTGTGGAGTTCAATTGCCCAGAAGAAAAACACGATCTCTTTTAAAGAAGAAGGGATCTGGAATGCAGGCTCGGGGGCTGCCTGCAGGATGGAGCAGAAGGGTTGCTCACATAGAAAATTTAACATCACATCCTCCTTACTGGTGCTTGCATGTTGGGAAGGATTAAGTGGCAAGGAGCACTGCTCATTCATTTCTTTGGTCAGTGGGAAGCAGGGCAGGGTGGCGGAGAGGCAGCAGAAGAGGCCCCGTGTCCCCTCCTGTGTGCCTTCTCAGCCCTACTCACCCCATCAGGACAGGAGGAGAGTGGTGAGGGGGTGCCCACTTCCTTCAGTGTGGGACGCAGCATGCTGACACCAATGCACACTGTCCCCATCACACAATGTCCCCATCACACACTGTCCTCGCAGCACGCCATCCGCACCACAATTCTCAGGATGGGGCAGGAGCTGCCACCATGCCATCCAAGGACTTGGAGGTGAAGCCCAAGCCCTCACTTTTGCATTCAGACAAAGAACAGAGGCACAGAGGCCAGGGCGAGGTCCCCAGCAACCTGTGCTGCCGAGCAGATGGCCTGCCATGTTCTCCATCAGCTCCAGTTTTTAAGGTCATGCTTGGATAATGAGCATCACAGCACTTGAGCCTACAGATCATGAATATATGGATGAATATGGACTTGTGCACTTTCCTTTCTACAGCCCTGTTTGTGCACACTCCCCTTGCCCCAATGGGGCGCACCTGCCAAGGGGAGGGGAGGGGAAGGGAGGGGAGGGGAGAAGGAAGGGAGGGGAGAAAAAAGAGAAGAGAAGGGAAGAGAAGGGAAGAGAAGGGAAGAGAAGGGAAGGGAAGAGAAGAGAAAAGAAGAGAAAAGAAGAGAAAAGAAGAGAAAAGAAGAGAAAAGAAGAGAAAAGAAGAGAAAAGAAAAGAAAAGAAAAGAAAAGAAAAGAAAAGAAAAGAAAAGAAAAGAAAAGAAAAGAAAAGAAAAGAAAAGAAAAGAAAAGAAAAGAAAAGAAAAGAAAAGAAAAGAAAAGAAAAGAAAAGAAAAGAAAAGAAAAGCAGCTGACTCCAGATTGCGCGTCTCCGGTTTTAGCAGGCCCAGGCCCTTCCCCTACTTCCCTGACATTCCTCCTCGTGACCCTTCCACGAGTTTTGGGTGAGTTCTGCAGGAATGCAGTGCTCTCAGCTCTGCGCTCCACTGCTGCTCAGCTGCTGGCAGGGCTCGGCAGCTCTGTGCCAGATGTCAGGAGTGTGGCCCTGCCAGGAGCTGCGCGTGCACCTTCCCGTTCACAGCCCTGCACAAAGGGGAAATCTGATATGGGTAATGCTTTACTTTTGTGAGTTGTTCTTCACTTCTGAGGTCTGCTCCCAGCATTGGTGCTATAGAATTTCACAGCTAGAGAAAGCAGGATGCACTCTGCCATGGGCTGCAGCAGGAGCAGGACAGGCTCAGGTCTTTTGGGTCCCATTCACGAGTCAGGGCTCAAACAGCACCCAGTGTTGTGCAAAAAAACACAGAATAAAGGCAGAGTCCTGCCCAGAAAAGGCTTCCAAGTGCGTGTTACGTTTCAGACTGACAATATGGACACGAGACGTAAGAATGCAAATGAAAAGAGGCAATGCTTGTCGGAGTAACACCTAGGGCTCATACAATGGCAACAGCTTTTCTTCCATCTTTCTGTCACCCTTTTGTGTCCTCCTCTGCCTCATCAGCAGTGATGGCAATGCCTACACCAAGATGCATGGCCTGGACCCAGATCTGGGAAAGTGTGGCAATAAATCGCCGCACACAGAATGGCAGCACTACAACTTTACGGCTGTAACCTCCCTTCCCACACAGCAGATCTGAACAGTCACAGTCAGCCAACCTTCCACTGCCTCCTCCATTTCTGCCGCTTTTCACAGTTTTGTATTAAATTACAAATTCTGTGAGACCATCTCGAAGGTTAAATTTAAAGTCATTTTACCATCCCAGGAAACAAATGACAGATGTAACCTTTAAAATAATGTTACGTACAGAAGTTAAAATAATGGCATTGCACAGTTCTTAATGGTCAGGTGTTTTTTGTCCCTCCTGTGAAAGGTGCTGCAGAAATGCAGAGCATTATGTTTATTTATTAATAATCCAGCTAAGAAATTTTCATGACCACCATTGGGGATGGTCTGACAGGTGACACGGGCGACCTCCTGCCAGGAGTGACATCTCTCCCCTACAATTTACATTCTCCAAATGATTTGTGATCAAATTACTTACAGCACAGATTAGCTTCTCCCCTGCTATTCACTCACAGCGCCATATTCATCTGTTTGTTCCACAGAACCATAAAAATAATAATATGGAAAATTGGTGCCTTGGCTTCCAGGGTATTCCAAGATGGAAACAGCACACTGGCCAGGAGATCGATTCCTGCTCTCGTTTTCTCAGGCACTGGGATTTGCATCTGGGGGAGATGCGGGTCGTTGGCTTGAAAAGAGCATTCAGAGTTCACATTTTGATTGCACAACCAGACAAACAAGCAAAGTGTCCCAATTAGAGGGAAGGAAATAATCACCCTGCAGCTCGGTGGCATGGGGACTGAGAGGAGAGAGGGACTAACGGGTTTGGAAGAGGCAGAGGACAGATTCCAGGCATCTTCCGGGTGCTGGGGAGACCACAACCACTGGTGGCAGGGAAATAGTTAAAGGAATATATTAAAGGTGCAAAGGGTGTCCCGACCTCTGCCACTGTCAGTTCTGTCAATGGGTCTACAGATGCCAGTGGAATAATTACGGCCTATATTTAGATTATGGATGCACCAGGCAGGGTGAAGGTTGGACATGAGGAATATGGTTGTTTGCAGTTCATTAGCGATGGGAGCAGCCCAGGGTGGGAGGAGGGCACTGAACTGGATTCATCCCACCTGGAGTGCTTGCGCTGAGCTGCATAATGTCAGCGAAAGAGACCTGACTATGTGTGGAAACAAAAGCAATAAAC